CCTGTCAGAATGGCTATCATCACAAAGTCTACAAATAACAAATGTTGGAGAGGATGTAAAGAACAGGGAACCCTCTTACACTGTTGGTAAGAATGTAAATTGGTGCAGCCACTATGGAAAACAGTACGGAGGTTCCTCAAAAAACTAAAAATAGAACTACCATATGATCCAGCAATTCCACTCCTAGGTATATATCTAGAAAAAATGAAAACACTGATTCGAAAAGATACATGCACCCCAATGTTTATAGCAGCACTATTTACAACAGCCAAGAGATGGAAGCAACCCAAGTGTCCATCAACAGATGAATGGATAAAGACGATGTGGTATATATATATGTATATATGTATACATACATACACACAGAGAATGAACTACTACTCAGCCATAAAAAAGAATGAAATTCTGAAATTTGCAGCAACATGGATGGACCTAGAGGGTATTATGCTCAGTGAAATAAGTCAGACAGAGAAAGACAAACACTGTATGATATCACTTATATGTGGAATCTAAAAAGTAATACAAATGAACGGATATGAAAAACAGAAACACGCTCACAGATATAGAAAACAAACTTGTGGCTACCAAAGGGGGCAGAGGAAAGTGGGGAGGGACAAATTAGGGGTATGGGATTAACAGATACAAACTACTATGTATAATATAGATAATCAACAAGGATATATTGTATAGCACAGGGAATGATACTCATTATCTTGTAATAACTTATAATGGAGCATAATTTACAAAAATACTAAATCATTTTGCTGTACACCTGAAACTAATATTGTAAATCAACTATACTTCAATTAAAAAACAAATAGAGGGGCTTCCCTGGTGGCGCAGTGGTTGAGAGTCCGCCTGCCGATGCAGGGGACACGGGTTCGTGCCCCGGTCCGGGAGGATCCCACATGCCGCGGAGAGGCTGGGCCCGTGAGCCATGGCCACTGAGCCTGCGCGTCCGGAGCCTGTGCTCCGCAACGGGAGAGGCCACAGCAGTGAGAGGCCCGCGCACCGCAAAAAAAAAAACCCCAAAAGAACCAAATAGAATGCACCTCTTGTAGACAGCATGCAGTTGAGTCTGGTAATCAATCTCTGATTTCTAATTTGAAGGTTTACTCCATTTATATTTAACATAATTACTGACATGGCTGGATTGGGATTTACCATTCTGCTATTGGTTTCCCGTTCATCTCATCTGTTTTTTGTTTCTCCATTCTTTCTTGCCTTCCTCCCTTTTAATTTCTCCATTGACTTTATAGCTTTCTCTCTTTGCATTATTTTTAAAAAATAGACCTTAGTTTTAGAGCAGTTTTAGGTATACAGTAAAACTGAATTAAAAGAACACAGCGTTCCTATATACCCCCTGCCCCACACAGACACAGCCTCCCCCCTACTATCAACATCGAGCCACAGTGGTACATTTGTTATAATCAATGAACCTACACTGATGCATCATTATCATGCAAAGTCCACAGTTTACATTAGGGTTCACTCTTGGTGTTGTACATTCTATGGATTTGGGCAAATGTATAATGACATATATTCACCATTACAGCATCATACTGAATAGTCTACTGGCCCCCAAAATCCTGTGTTTTGCCTATTCATCCCTCCTTTTCCTCTAATCCCTGGCAACCAATGACCCTTTTACTCTCTCCATAGTTTTGCATTTTCCAGAATGTCATGTAGCTGGAATCATATAGTATGTAGCCTTTTCAGATTAGCTTCTTTCACTTAGTAATACGCATTTAAGGTTCTTCCATGTCTTTTTATGTCTTGATAGCTCATTTGTTTTTAGCAATGAATATTATTCCATTGTCTGTATGTACCACAGTTTATCCATTTGCCTACTGAGGGCATCTTGGTTGCTTCCAAATGTTGGCAATTATGAATAAAGCTGCTATAAACATTTGTGTGCAATTTTTGTGTGAACCTAACTTCAACTCATTTGGGTAAATACCAAGGAGCATGACTGCTTGATAGTATGGTAAGAGAATGTTTAGTTCTGACAAACTGTCTTCCAAAGTGTCTGTACCATTTTACATTCCCACCAACAATGAATGACAGTTCCTGTTGCTCCATTATCCATGTCAGCATTTGGTGTTGTCAGTATTTTGGATTTTGGCCATTCTTATAGGGGTGTAGTGGGATCACTGTTGTTTTAATTTGCAATTCCCTAATGACATATGATGTTGGGCATCTTTTCATATGCTTATTTCCCCTCTTTATAATCTTATTTGGTGAGGTGTCTAAGGTCTTTTACTCATTTTTAAATTGGGGTGTTTAGGGACTTCCCTGGTGGCGCAGTAGTTAAGAATCTGCCTGCCAACGCAGGGGACACGGGTTCGAGCCCTGGTCTGGGAAGATCTAACGTGCCGCAGAGCAACTAAGCCCCTGTGCCACAACTACGGAGCCCGCGTGCCACAACTACTGAAGCCCAAGTGCCTAGAGCCTGTGCTCCGCAACAAGAGAAGCCACCGCAATGAGAAGCCCACGCACCACAACAAAGAGCAGCCCTCACTCAACGCAACTAGAGAAAGCCCGTGCACAGCAACGAAGACCCAACACAATGAAAAATAAATAAATAAATAAATAAAATTGGGGTGTTTAATTGAGGCATTACTTCACTATCTCTGGGACCCACTTTCAAATGCGAAGGTGACAACAATTCACATCACTGTTCTTCTGTGTGTAATATGTACTTTATCTCTGGCTGCTTTTAAGATTCTCTTTTTCTTTTGTTTTCGGCAGTTTGACTATGATGTCTCTATGCTTGGTTTTCACTGTATTTAAAACCTGCTTAGTTAGGGCTTACTGCTATTTCTAAATTTCTAAATTTGTGTTTCACAGATTTGGGGAACATTTCAGCCATTATTTCTTCAATTTTTTTTAATGGCCCCTTCTCTTTATTCTCTCCTACTGGTATTCCAATTGTACATAAGGTAGACCTTTTTACATTGTTCCACAGGTCATTGAGGCTCTTCATTTTTAACCAATCTTTTTTTTTCCTTCAGATTGGCTTATTTCAAGTTAACCAACCCTTTCTCCTGTCATTGCCAATCTGCTATTAATCTCATCCAATTTAAAAAAATTGAAATATAGTTGATGTACAATATTATGTTAGTTTCAGGTGTATTACAGTGGTTTGACATTTGCATACATTATGAAATGATCACCATCATAAATCTGGTAACCATCTGTCCCTACACAAAGTTATCACAATATTATTGACCACATTTCTTATGCTGTATATTACACCCCCGTGGCTTTATTTATTTTATAACTAGAGGTTTATAGCTCTTAATCCCCTTCACCTATTTCCCCTCTCCAACCTCCCTCTCCTGTGGCAACCACCCGTTTTTTTGTCTGTATCTATGAGGCTGGTTTGATTTTTAAACTTCAGATATTGTATTTTTCAGTTCCAGAATTTTTTGTGCATAGTTTCTACTTCTCTGAGATTTCTTACTTTTTCATTCATTACAAGTATATTTTCCCCTATGCCCTTGAGCATAGAAATAAGCTGCTTTAAAGTCCTTATCTGCTAATTTCAACATCTGAGTCATCTTCGGGTTGGTCTTCATTGATTGCTTTTCCTCTTGAGTATAAGTCACGTTTTCTTTCTTTTTTTTTCCCATACGTATAGTAGTTGAGGACTGAATCCCAGACTTTTTGAATGGTTATGTTGTAGAGATTATGAATTCCGTTTTGTTCCTCTAAAACATACTGATTTTTCATTTTAGTTAGTTTTCATTTGTCTAGAACGAAAATTCAAAATTCTGTTTCCTCTGCATTGGGCAGTAGCTGGATTATCCATTCAGTTATTTTAGCTCTATCTAGGGTGCTTGGAGTCGATCCTGTATAGCTTAGTAGTCTGCCAGAGATTTGGGCAGGCTTTATACAATTAGGGCTCCTCCTCTGTGGTTCTCTCCTGGGATATCTTCTCAGGTTTCAGTTGCTACAGTCACCCTGAACTCAGTTCTCTCCTTCCTCATCCGATAAGACTGGTTTCTATCCAAGTTTTACCCACCTCCATATTACAGCAAGTGCAGCCTGCCCATGGGTGAAAAGCTATTAAAAAAACCAGGAAACCTTTTCAAATGACCACTATTCTCTTTGCTACAGTGGAAACAGCATTGGAAGTGGGAATTTTAGGGCCTGTATTAACATCCTAGCCTGGCCACTTTCTAGCTATGTTTACTTTGGGTTAGTCCTCAGACACCATTTCCTCATTCTAAAATGGGAATAAGAATGTTTGCTTCATGGGGTTGTTAAAGAGTATCAAGTGAGATCATACATGAGATAAGGAAAATAGGCTCAGAGGGGCTAGATGATGTCCTATCTAAGTGGTAGGAGTAACTGGTTACTCCAGATCTGTCCATGCTTTTTCTGCTATGCCATATTGCTTCCATCTTTCTAATGACTACCAGCTCCACCTTTCCCTCCCAAAGACACCTCCAAGTACCTACCATGATCTAATTACCAAACTGAGCACCAAGAACACAGTAAGCCAAAGTCCTTGCCCTCAGGAAGTTCCAAGTACCGTTCCCTTCTTATATAAGTGTTGACTGCCCTACAGTCTATGTCTGATTTTGGTCACTCTCAGGGCCTTCAGATAGCTGTTTTGATATATTCTGTCCAGTCTGTAATTGTTATCTATAGGAGGGGTTGGTCTGATACAACCTACTCTGCTGTTACCAGAAGCAGAACTGCTATTTATGGATGTTTGGCTTTGCTGTCTAGCTGCTCAGTCTGTTTTTATGCCATGATATTTGGAGAAATTAAAAAACTATGCTGTCCCACTGCCCCCATCCTCCCAAAATCATGTGCTATTTAATAATAAATGAAACAAAATACTGACTAGAATCTTTCTATTACTCAGAATCTTTGTCCAGATTTCTTTTGCATCTAAAGGGCAACAATACTTGGTCTGAATTTAATTGCTCGAGAGTTAGGGACCGGTAGTGTAGTAGTATAACGACTCTCCTCCCACCCCTCCATACCTGATGTTTTCTTGGCTACACCCTGATCAGGTAATGCTCCAAATTTCCGATGCTGTTCATACCAGTCATTCACTGTCATAGATGCCAGACTTGGATAACCAGCTCCAAATACTCTGCAAGAATCACACTGCATTTAGAAAAGTAAACATAAAGAGCTCTATTAAAAAGCCTCTTCTCTTTAGTGATAAAGCCTGTGTCTGTTTCATCCTTGCTCTCCTACCCAGCTATCTTCTGAGGATTTGTGAAAACTCCTGTTAGGATATGTAAAATGAGGCATCCAGGAAGGAGAATTAAAGGCAAGAGCTTTCATGAGAAGATAAATAGCCCAGAATCATCTCCCAGTAAGCAATCCTGGAGGCTAATGCCCCACAGAGGAGTGATGATACGATGGAAGGAGTATTTATACTTGGAGGGTATAAAAGATACACGGAGGAAGAAGACTCTTCTGCCACCCTACGGAAAAGCATCCCAAAACTCAGAATTAAAACCTAGATAGGCAAACATGTCCTTTTGAGAACTGCAGCTGAAGGAAACAGTGGGAAACAATTTTAAGGTCTACAATTCTCCCTTAGATTCTTTTCTTCTTTCTGTTTTTAATTAGTTAATTAATTAATTTTTGTTGGTTTCCTTTCTAGCCTATTTTTAAGCTCAAGTTTGTGAGGGAAATGTCTGATGAAGACAGACAGAGAAAGTATCAGAGGAGATATCTCTGATGCAAGAACAGCCTCCCCAGGTGAAGCCATTACCTTCTGTTACTCATGCACTGTAAATGAACCATAAAAGCAGGGGGCTTGCAAAGGCAACCCACTTTTTAATACTACCTACTTGGCTTGGGCCATGTTCCGAGTGAGAACAAACGGTTTCATTGGAGGCCTGTCCTGACGAGATGAGTGAGAAGTTGATGCCTAAAAAGGAAATTAATTATCAGAAGTGTACTTGTCATTCTGCCCATCCCACTACGCAGGCTCTTATGTCTTTAGGTGCTTGAAAAGCCCTATTTATCAGTCTCTAAGATATATTTGCAGAATACTAATGGTGGAGGTTGGTTAGCTCTCCTGAGGTGGCCCAAGTATCTTGCTGGAAAGGGAGCAAGAGAAAGCTCTCCCAGGAATCATTTCACCACAAGTGAAAAATTACCTGACTTTAAAATACTCCCCTCCAAAGAGGAAGATTCCAAAGCCTTCTTCCATGTTCCATCTAAAACCCTTGAGCTCAATTTGAAGCCCCTTTCCTTAGCCTGGCCTTCAGTGCTAAAGTTGAATTATGAAGACCCTTCTGCTAAAACCCTGTCCAACGTAATTTTGCTATTAATTGTCATGAGCTCCCTAGGGTGTTTTAGAAGTGGATGTTCCTAAATGCAAGGGGGGAAGAATGGGTTAGTATCTTTCATATATAGGTGCACAGAAATGTTTCAAGGAAACTTGGCTGTCCGGGGGCACACCAAAACAAACTATGGTCAAGAAAAATGTTCACTTGGTTCTAAACTCCATCACTTCCAGAGCCAATCCCAATACCAAATGAGAGAGCATAAAAACAAAAAACTAAGGAGATGGGAGGATCCAGAGGAGTCCAGCCTCATGATGCTTGAAAACCACTCATCTAGATATGCCCAAGGGGCCTTAAGGCTTTAGAATACTAATTGTTCATTCTTTGATCCCTTCACACAGAGAAACTAGGTTGATGTTACCCTGAGGCAAAAGCTCCTGGGCTAATTAGTGCAAATCGAATTAGCAAGAGGTTTCTCTGAGGACTTAAATGCCTGTGACTAACTGATAAATTCAACTCAATTCATGTTATATTCTGAACCAAAAAATAAGTGGCAGCAGAGCCTAATATTTTGAAGTAGCAGCTCCAAAACACAGTTATGATCTTCAGAGACAGCCAAAGTGGGGTTACACCAAGTTTTCTTTACCAATATGCCTGACATTTTGTGCAGAGATGTCCTTGCTGTGTTTCATACTTGGGTGACCTAAGGTGTGAGGGTGTATCATTGTGTAATGTTAAATCCTGGTTTCTCCCCCAACCTAAACACATTCCATGTCTTTTGCTTTATCTTTTTACTCTTTTCTCTCTCTTCTCCAGTTACACTCTTCTTCTTCATTCCCATCCTATCCCTCTTCCTGTTTATTACAGTCAAGCACAGGTTTTCAAGGCCCACCTCCCTATGCCTTCTTTCAGGAGTCATGAGTGCTCACAGCCCAAACCAATTTTCACTTCAGAGAAGCCTCCTTCCCTCCTGGCATGTCACAAAATTACAAAAGACTGGAAGTGTGTTACAGGTTAGAAAGCACTGGGGAACAATACTATAAACTAGAAAGAAAGCTATCCTAGTGAACCTTCAGCCTTCCTCCACTAATCTTAATAAGAACAATGATTTTATGGAGACTTAAAAGGATTTTAATTCGATTACTCTCTTGTAGAAGATCCAAATCTCTGACAGTAGCTTTTTTAGGGATATAGGCGGTGACCAGGCTTACCTCTTTTGAAGAGTCTTTTCCTCTCAAGATCTTTATCTCCTGGTCAATGCTCTCAATCTCTTCTAAGCTGATACCAATCCACCTTCGAAGGTGAAGGAGGTAATATTCACGAACACACTCATCATCTGCTTGACCACTTTCCACAGCAGATTTCAGTGCAGACAACCTATGCTCCACCTCCTTCTTCTGCTTGTATCTGTTCCACAGAAACGCATTAGCCATGAACTTAAAAATAAAGAGGTGTTCCTTCAAAAGAAGGACACAATACAATTTTACCTTTACAAATGACCAGGTACACCGATTTCCATTTAGGCAAAAATACAGATTCTATACCTCAGAATTTGCCACCAAGTCAGTTCTCTCAAGACTACAAGGCAAGGAAGGGATCAGCAGAAGCTGAGAAATACATCCTGAAACCAGAAAAAAATCGAAAATAACCTGATATGAGCAACTCTTCCCATCGTATTTTGAGACGAGAGTGCCTTAGTAATTCTATGACATCAACCTTTACTAGGTTGGGTGCTTAGTATATACAATGTCCACTTGGGAATTACAGCTTCAAATAGTCATAGGATCTTAGGGGTCATTTACCTGCCATTGATGCAGGAATTCCTTGTGAAATAGCCTAAAAAATGGTCATCTCTTCTTTTCTTCTGGGCAAAACATTTCCAGCTCCTCTAACTCATCCTAGTATAATTTGAAGACTCATATCTACCCTGCCTGCCCTTTTCAAGATGCATTCTAGTATGTCATCTATCACTCATTGGACAACTATTTACCGAGTACCTATTGTGTGACAGGTACTGTTCTCAGTGCTTGAGACACAACAGTGCATACAAGAAAGTCCTTGCTCTCCTGAAGCTTTCATTCTAGTGTGAGAAGACAGACAAAAAGAAATAGATGAGTCAGGTGGTGGTGAAGTGCTCTGAAGAAGCAAAAAAGCAAGGTAAAGTGGATAGAGTGATGGTGTGAAAGTACGGGTGATCAGGAGAGACTTCTTTGAAGAGATGACATTTGAGCACAGACTTCAAGGAAATAAGGATGGAAGCCATGCCGGTATCTGAAACAGTGTTCTAACGGGGAAAAGCAAATATGAAGGTCCTGGGGTGGGAGAGTGCTGGCCTGACATGTTTGAGAAATAGCAAGGAGGTCAGTGTGGCTGGCATGGCGTGAAGAATAATAGGAAGTGAGGTCAGAGAGATAGCCAGGGCCATAATTTGTAGAATCCTGTAGGCCAAGAATACACGAAATATCAAATGTCATGATATTTTGAGAAGAGAAAGCCACTGGAAGCTTTAAAATAGAATACATGAAATGAACTTTTTTTTAATGGACTACTCTGTTGTGTGTAGACTGTGGGGGGTGGTGGGAGGCAAGGGTGGAGCAGGAAAATCAACTAAGAGGATATTGCCACAATCCAGGCGAGAGACAGCGACTTGAAATAGGGAGGTGGTGAGATGTGGACATAATTAAAATATAACAGTATTTGTTGGTTTATTGGATGTAAGGTCTTGAGGCAAAGAGAGGAATCAAGGGAAAACTCCACAACTCCCAAGAGAAGTATCTTGAAATATCTATGTCTGGAACCCCACTCTAGACCTCCAGAATCAGATGCTCCTCTGTGGGTGTTCACCCAAATCTGAAGTTCTTAACCTGAGGTCCACGGACAGAGTTTGGAGGGAGGGGTGTTCTTGAACTCCCCCAAATTTTGTATAGAATTCTACATGTATGTGTCTTCTTCTTTTTTTTTTTACTGGGGAGAGGTTAAGGAGGTCCATGACCCACAAAAAGTCAAGAACCTCCACTCTGGAAACATTCTTTACTATAAAAACTTTTAGGCTCTTCTGCTCCTTTTAATCAACAAGTGGGCACTTTATGTAATGTTATAAATAACTGTCACAGCACCATCACAGGTGGCCTTCTGAGTAAAACACTACACAGGTCAATTCCTAGTTCATGAATGCTATTACAGATATCACTTGAGAACATTTAACTCTGGTGCCACTCGGTTCCTGTGCTTCCTTTCCCATCCTCTGCATGCATGTGGTCTAGTCACACTCTCTGGTCTTTCCTTCTTCTCTACTTCCTTTGCTTCTATGACTTTGCTCCTAGTCATCTTTGGGACTTCTAAGTTCCTGAACTCCTATTCTTTGAGGCCAGTGTTTTTTAAACCTTTCTGTCTTAGCAGAAGAACGCTTTCTTCTTATGAGAGCTTACTTGGAACTCCAGAAAGTAATAAAAGATAAAATCCGCCTTGGTTAAATCAGAGGAGGGCTCCCAACATGCCCCCTACCCAGGCACTGTGGTAAAATCTTAGGGCTCGAAGGAACAGATTGTAAACCACTGTCCTAGACCTTTGTCACTGTTCTAGATTTCCTATGGTGAGCTGTTGCATGCAAACACTCCCTATCACCCTAGAATCCCCCAGTGCTTGTCACCCTTCTGACTCTGGGCCACTTTCATCATTCATTCCCCTTTTCTGTTCCCAAGCTGCTGAAGAGAGGTAACGAACTACAAATTTGTGTCAGATGAGTCAACTACAAATTCATATGATCAAACTTCAGCGGAACGGTCACTCTTGTTCAGCTATCTTTTTGCTCATCTTTTGTGGATCCATGCCAACATCATGCTCACCAGATGGCCAGCCAATGTAGAAATTCAATTTCCCTTTTTACCTTAAAATCTCTATAGCTTCACCTTTCCTCCTCTCCTCTTGCCTTTAAGGAGCTTATGTTGTCTTTACCATTCCACTTTGGCTATCAATCCTGTCTCCACCCACACTCTTCCAAGCCTCACTCAATCAATCATCCTCCCTGTCATTAGCAGTTACAATTTTTCACCCTACTGGTGCCTTTCCCCTATCCTAGAAACACCTTCCCTCAATCCATGTTCTGCCTTTTCAAATGACCACTCTTCTCTCTTTTCTAAACAGCACTAGAACTGGGAATTTGAAGACCTAAGTTTAAAGCCTGGCCACTTACCAGCCATGTAACTTTGGACAAGTCAGTACTCAGAGCCCATTTCCGTATTTCTAAAATGGGATAATATCTGCTTCATGGGGCTGTTAAGAGGACCAAATGAACAATACTCACGAAAGTGCTTTGTAAGCAGCAATATATTGTTATCTGATGGGAAAAATTGAGGTTAAGGGGGGCTAGATGATGCCCCATCTACTAGGTGGCAGAAATTGGACTGGTCACCCCAGGTCTGACTCCAAAGCCCAGGCTTTTTCTGCTATACCATATTGTTTCCATCTTTCTGATGACCACTCTATCTGTCCTTCCCAAAGATACCTCAAGTATCTACTATGATCCAATTACTGGTTGGGTACCAAGGATATGATGATATAATTAGGATATTAAGGATATAATTAGTCAAGGTCTCTGACCTTTAGAAGTTCCAAGTCTAGAACATAACAGATTGTTATGGCCTGATAAGTAACATAAACTAAGTGCTACAATATCTGGGAGGGGAGACAGGTAGAGCGAAGCTTCATAGAGGACATGACATTTGTCCTCTCTCTTCCCCAGGCTTCTTTCTATAAGTACTTTTACCTGTACCTTGTTGAGTCTCTTACCTCTGTTCTTTCTTTCCTCTTCCTTCTCCCTTAATTTGCCCCAAGGTTTTATCCTTGGCTTTTTTTTCTCTCTACATGCTTTTTCTTGGCAAACTATCCACACCCAGCAACACTCCTGAATTTTTACCACTAGCAGCAAAACAGCCTGATAAGTTTTAGTTACACGTTTCCATCTGTCTATGGACATGGCTGTCCAGTTGTCACTTTAGGACCTAAATTCAGTAAATCTAAAACTAGACTCATTACTTACCCAGCTTCTACTTCTCCATTTCTGTCAAAAGAATGTAGGTACAGGGCTTCCCAGGTGGCGCAGTGGTTGAGAGTCTGCCTGCCGATGCAGGGGACACGGGTTCGTGCCCCGGTCCGGGAAGATCCCACATGCCGCGGAGCGGCTGGGCCCGTGAGCCATGGCCACTGAGCCTGCGCGTCCGGAGCTTGTGCTCCGCAACCGGAGAGGCCACAACAGTGAGAGGCCCGCGTATTGCAAAAAAAAAAAGAATGTAGGTACAGTTAATCAAGACTTACACTTACGCCTCAAAGATGGGAATTAGAGTAGAGAAGATATGTGAAGAAACAGGTTTTGAGGGAGAGAGAGGACATACCATTTAGGTGTTTTATGTCGGATGGCCTCACTGTGTAAAGTCATGAGGTGGGGGATGGAGGACTTACAGAAATTAAATAAGGATTTGAACAATTTGTTTTCTAATCATATAAATGCTTCTTGCAAAAGTAATATCTCTGATAGTTGTAACTTCATTTTTATCACTTCTTCCCAGTTGAAGTACTATTATAACACGTTAACTTGTCTTTCTGCCCCTCTCTTCCTTTACAACGTTCCATACACATCACTTCCTTACAGTCCTCCAACCATACTACTCTTACCTTCTGCCAAATCAGACTATTCTCCATTTCCTGTACATACCTCCAACTACCCTGCCTTGGGCTTTTGCTCATGTTGTTCCCCCCTGCTTGTCAAGAATAAATATTTTTTGAGCACCTTCTATATACCAAGCCCTGTGCTAGACATACCACACAGAGAACAAGAGAGAAATGGCTACTGCTCTCATGGAGTATACATTCTAGTAGGGGAGAAAGACAAAACCCAGAAAGACAGATAAATGAAGAGCATTCCATGCAAAGAGAACAACATGTACAAAGACTCTGTAGAAAGAAAGAACTGGATCTGTTCGGAACTGAAAGAAGGCTATTATGGCAGCAGTCTAGTGAACAAGGGGAGTATGATATATGACGAGATTGGAGAGAGGCAGATGGCAGATCATCCAGGTCTTTACAGTTAATGGCTTGGATATTTCAGGTGAGAGATGCTGGTGGCCTAGATGAAGGTATGATAGTGGAGAAAGAGAGAAACAGAAGGACATAAGGTACATTTTGTAGCTAGAACTGGCAGGCCTTGTTGATGGACTGGACGTGGCAATTCAGAAGGGAGGAACTGAAGCTAACTCCTAGGTTTCTAGCTTAAAACCTGGGTGAGTGGTGGTCTGTTTATTGAGATGGTAAAGACATGAGTGTGGGGGCACATTGGGGGATTGAAAAGCCAGCAGTTCAATTTAGGGCATGTTAAGTTTGAGATGTCTGTGAAACATCCACGTATGGTGTTCAAAGTCAGGAGAGGTCTGGGTTAGTGATATAAATATGGGAGCCATTAGCGAAAAGATAGTGTTGGTATCTCGTCTGTCAGGCATAAAAAAAAAAATTCAAAGATCAAGCTTTCTGGGCTCCCCTGGTGGCGCAGTGGTTGAGAGTCCGCCTGCTGATGCAGGGGACGTGGGTTCGTGCCCCGGTCCGGGAAGATCCCACATGCCGCGGAGCGGCTGAGCCCGTGGTGAGCCATGGCCGCTGAGCCTATGCGTCTGGAGCCTGTGCTCCGCAATGGGAGAGGCCACAACAGTGAGAGGCCCGCATACAGAAAAAAAAAAAAAAAAAGATCAAGCTTTCTAACCAAAGAAATGCAAATCAAAACAATGAGGTATCTTTCCTGCTTGCCCATCTGGATTTTCTAAGTGTTGCCATTCAGTACTGTTGCAGTGGGACATACTTTGAAACTTTGTTATTGTGGAAAGCAATATAATTACCATCAAGAGTCAAAATATTCAAACCTTTTGATTTAGGCACTGGTCCTTCTAGAAATCTGTCCTACAGAACAGTGACAGATGCAGTTATGTTTCCTCATAACATTACTTAGAATAGCAAATAAAAAATCAACACATAAACAGGCTAAGCATTTGACAATAAAAGATTCGTTTAAATAATCATGATATGACTGTAAGCTGGAATACTATTTAACCATTAAATACCATGGCTTCAAAAGACATGGGGAAATCAAAACAGGATGTTAGGTTTAAAAAAAAGGATAAAAAACTATATTTATGGTATTCTTCCAAATTTATTAACTAAAATAACTATGTATCTGGAAGGAAATACATCAGATAGTTAACAAAGCTCATCTGAGTGCTAGGAAGAAGACTTATTTTTAATTTAAAAAATGTTCTGTTTTCCAACTTTCTACAATGAATATTATTACTTTTACATTCAGGCTAACCTGTAATTTGCATTTTTAATTTGCATCCTTCTAGTCTCACCTCAAATGCTACTACATTCGGAAACCTTTTCCTTAACCCTCCAACCAGATGTGATCACTCCCTGGTCTTTGTCCACAACACCATTTGTATCTCTCTAGTGCATTTACAGTCTTTTTTTTTTTTGGATATATTACGATTATTTGGATCCCAAATTCACTGTTTAAACTATCTGTTACATGCCAACGGGTTGCCCCTACCTTCTCACAAAGGACATGATACTGAATTCCACTTCATATCAGTCTATCCCATTTCCTCAAAAATCATTCTCTGTCACTCACCAGCTCTTAACCATACTTTATTATTCTTTAAAGCCCTTACCACCTAAAATCACATTTTTATTTACTAGCTTACTGTCTGTCTCCTCCACCAAAACAAGAGCTCCATGAGGGCACAGACTTTGTCTGGGTCTCCATTACTCAGCACACAGTAAAGGCTCAATAAATATGCTAAATGACTCAATCAATTTTCAGCTCTCTAGACCAGGCCTCTCCACTGAGCTTCATGCTACAGATACCTTGACTTGGATGTCTCCTAGGCAACCTTAAATGCAACATGTCTCAATATACAATTCATACTCTCCCCTATCTGTTCTTCCTCTTCTATTCCCCCATCTCAATGAGTTCCACAGCCACCCACCGACATCAGAAACATGGACATCTTCCTTGCTGCTTCATTCTACCCTACCTGTCACAACCAATTGATCGTTTTCTGCAGATTCAACCCTATAAATAAATATATCCCCTCCATCCCTTCTGCCATTGCAGTAGTAAAGTCTCATCACCTCTGTGACCTAACTGGATCTAATTTCTCCCTCAGAATGCTTCCTAACTGCTGCTAGAGTATGCTAGTTAAAATGCAAATATGACCTTGCTACTCTTCAAGGAAAAAAAAAAAAACCTCCAGTGGATCCCTAGTCACCAAACAAATCTCAGGCTCTTTAGCATGGCCTAATAATAGGTAACATTTATAGAATATTTACTATGTAACAGATACTGTGCTAGCTGTTTTATGTGGTTTATTTTATTAATGCCTCTTAACCCTATGAGATAGGTACACTGTTACTTAGACTTCACATATGAGGAAACCTGAGGCTCAGACAGGTTACATAAGTTACCCAAAATCCAATGGCTTATAAGTAAAGCTGGGTCTCAAACCCAGGTCTCTCATTCCACGACTTGTACTCAGCTACAAAGATACGACAACAGCTGACTCTGAGTGCTTACTGTATCAGACAATGTGGTAAGAGCTTTTTATGCATTTCTCTTCTATTTTATAGGACCTATGATTATCCAATTTGCCATCTGGGGAAATTAAGGCACTGAGGGATTAAGCAACCTACCCAAAATCAGAATGATTAAATTCTGGAGCTGGGATTCAAACCCCCTTCCCAAGTTCTCAGGAACAAGGTCGTTCTTTCACCTTCCTCACACCCCAAGCTCTCCTTGGTTTGAACCCTACAACATTCTTCAGCATCATTCTTTCCCCTTCTTCACCACCCACTTTGTGTTCTAGCATCACCTAATTGCTTATGGTTGTTCCCCACCCCAGCACTGTGGTCTTCAATGTCCCTGTAGCTTTACTAATGCTATTATCTCTGCTGGCTAAAGCCCTCCTTTCCTCTTCCTCTAGATGATACTCCTATGCATCCTTAAACAACTCATCACAGGAGTCACCTCATCCAGGGAGCCTTCTGCTCTCTCCTGCTCCCTCTTTGGTTAGGTGCCCCTCCTGTCTGCTCTCCCGATACCTTGTGCATTTCCCTATCACATCATTTTATAATTTATACTGTTTCTATGCCTCTTTTCCTCACCACACTGTATGCTCCTCCAAGGCAGACACCACCCATATCCATACAAACGCCCATACTCAGTTTGAATCCCCGGTGCCTAGCATAGCTCCTAAACACTGTGAGCACTCTTTTTAAAAAACTAAACTAAGAGAGTAAGCAAGGTGTTCAAGGTCACATAATGAAGCTATGCCAGTACTAAGATTAGTTCAGGATGTTATACACCTGATCCAATATTGTTAGAACAGAGTTTCTCAATCAATTGACCATAAATGGACTATAGCTACAAGATATTTGTGCCCTTCAGAGATACTTACCTCACTGTACCATGTGAGTATTGCTATGCTGTGATGTGGGAGAGACTGGGAGACACTCTGCTAAACTACATTGCTGTTGCTGGCAACCATAAGGTGCTAGGGGTCTGACAGTTAGGTATAGTCATTTCAACCAAGGCAGAGGCTTCTTGAAAAACTCAGGAGTTTGCTATCACCAGGGCCTATGCTAAATACGAACCCAAAGAGTGACACACACCATTTTTTGCCCACCCCCCCAGAAAAAAAAACATGCACCCCTCCCCGCCAACAGCACTGCCATTGGGCAGTCTTCAAATGACCCACCTCTCTATTTTAGCCTGTCTCTGAGATGCCATAGCAACGAGGCTAGGATAGGCCATGGAGGAATCAGCAGTGTTATTTTCAGCAGAGTTGGCCTTGGTTTTGGGCAGCTCAAACTCTGCCACATGATAGTATCGGCACTGAGTTAAGTAGTTTAAAAAGTGTTCTCGAGCCCACTGCAAATGATCTAGACGCTTGCTGGGGTTGACTTGTTTCATGGCGAATGCTCCTTGAAATGCTGGCACCATCAGGTACTTCAGATCGGTGGAAGCAATCTCTTCCAAATCTTCATTTCGGCTGGAAAGAGCAAAGAGGAGGCTGTGAAGTCTGGCTGGGCATTCAAACTGTGGCCCTGGCTTCCTGGGGGAGGGAAGGGCTGGGGTGTGGGTGGGGGTGTGGGTGGGACAAAGGGAGGAGGCACCGGGAACAGCTGCCAGTTTTCATCACTAACAGTGGCTGTGCGCTCACACCCAATGCCTATGCAAATAGCCAACACTAGGGAGCACAATCGTGTGATACTAAGTATCTCGGAAGAGAGGTGGAGAATGTAAACAATGTACACAAGGTCGCAGTGGGAGGGAGGAAAGAAAGGCTCCGGGTTTTAAAGGTCTCCTGCACCCAGGATCAATGGTTCCGCCATTGGTAACTATTATTACCTACGTTCTCAGTCATACTACCCTCTCGCCATACCTGAACAAGTCGAGCTCCAGTAACATTTCGGCAGCCTTCTTCAGGAGGTCCAGTCCCTTGAACACCTTATCTTGGATAATCCGGGAGCCGGTGGGTTCAGTCGCGACTTCCACTTCGTCCAGAAGCTGCCTGCTGGTTTCGAACAGCTCGGGGAGCCGCGGCAGCAGTAACTCGTCTCCGGCTGTTGCCATCTTGGGGAAGGGACGAACACGGGAAGAGCTCACTTCCGGCCCTGGGACAGATGGGCTGGGCTGCCAGCAACGAAACCGGAAGGGGCGCAGCATCGGTCCAGCGGCTCCACTGTTAACTAAGCGTCGGACAACTGCCAGAAGCGGATGTTAGCTAAACCGAGCAACTGTTTCCATAGACTCATTTTACCAGGCTGCCTATTACCGGTAGTAGGCATCTGTTACAGACACACAACGCGCAAACAAGCAAACCCTAGGTGCTGCTTTTCGCGTGGCTACTCGTCGCCGATCCGGGTCTGGGCAGTGCCGTAGGCTCTGAAGCGCGGGTGTGACGAGGCTGAATTCGGAGCTAGGGCGGGCGCGAGAGGGTAGGCGCGGGCGCGCCCACGCAGTCGGCCAGGCGTGCGCCTTACCTCGCAAGGCTGTCCCTTGCCTGAAGGGCTGGGGCGGCCAGGGTCGTGCAAGTAGCGCCCCCCTCCGGCTTCCGTACACCCAGCAGCTGGAGCTCTGGGTTCCTCCCAGCCAATCCTCGCCTGCTCTCTTTCACGTCGCTTCACCCCTCCTACACACACATTTAAAAGTTACTGTTACCAACCCCTTTTACACACACACACACATTTAAAAGTTACTGTTACCAACCCCTTTTACACACACACACATTCAAAAGTTACTGTTACCCCTCCTATACACACACACACACACACACACACACACACACACACACTTCCTCTGTGAAAGCTTCCTTGAGCCTCTCTCCCCCGCCAAATGAAAATTTTCTGTGCATCTCTATCAGAACACCTACCACATTGTATTACAGCTAGTGACTTACAAATCTATCTCCCTTACCACTATGAGTCTGATTAATTTTTGCACCTCTCCGGCTAGCCCAGTGCCTGGTACTTATTAAGTGCCCAGTGTCATTATATGAATAGAAAAATAAGTGATCGGTTTGGAAAGCAGCTCAATTACGCAGAACTGCGCTGTTCAACACGGTAGCCACTTGCCACATGGGGCTATTGAGCACTTGAACGTGGCTATTTTGAATTGAGATGTGCTTTCAATGTAAAATATACACCGGATTTTGAGAACTTATTACGAAAAAATAATGTAAAACATCTCAATAATTTTTACACTGACTACATGTTGAAATGCTAATGTTTTGTATATATTGGGTTAAACATATTATTAAAATTAATTTCACTTGTGTCTTTTCACTTTTATAATGTGCCTACTAGAAAACTTAGAATTACATATTAGGTTCATGTTTGTGGCTAACAGCTACTGTACAGCGCTGATGTAAAAATATAATTCCAGGACTTTGAAAGAAGGGACCTCATTGCTTTGAACAAATCAATATAAATATGTACTGATTACCATAGGACACACCCCGAGTTGTCCTAGGAGATTTAATTTAAGTAAAATGCATGTTGCCTGCCCTGGAAAATAAGCTTTTAAACTAAATGTAGTTTACACTATCATTGAGAAGAAAAAATTTTTCATGTAAAAACAACTAGAGGGCAATATAGGACAGTATATAACTAGGGGATATGTTGTACTGCATAGGTTTCTGGAAACCCAAGAAATGACAAGTCATTTTATGTTAGTAGTCAGAAAGCTTCTTAGACATGACGTGCAGTCACAGAATTTCAAAGTTGGAAGAGGATCTCAAAAATCAGAGGAAAAAAACCTGAGATCAGATAAGTGACTTGCCCAACGATTTGTGACAAAGCCAGTGTCTTCTAAGTTCAATTGTTTTTACTCCATCTATCTTAAATTGAGTAGGATTTAAAAAGATGGAGAGGCCTTTCATGTGGGACAGAATGAAGCCCCAAGCTAAACCAGTGCTTGGCAAGAAGGAGAGGAGAGTGGGGCATAAGTGTGGGTTGAAAAAGCTTCCCAGGTGATTCTAATACGCCTTCCCTTGCAACCTGCTCTAGAAGCTGAGGAGGAAAGGAAGCTCTGGTGAATCACCAATTTGATTTGTCTGGTACTTCTAATGAGTCTTGTAAACTGAACTTTCAGGGTCAGCCTTGGCCAAGAATACAAAGAAGAAAGATAGTACTTGTGAAGGAGACTTAGAAACAGTAATTGTGAGACTAAAGATAATTTGTTCCTGCACATTTGCTTGGATTAAGACATAGCTTTACTGTTGCCTAAGAGAAAAAAAAATATGCAGAATTTGAATCTGGTCTTGAACTTTGTAAGCCATTTTTCTATGGCTTTCAAAATGACAGTCCTCATGAGAATCACCAGTTACTTTCAGAATGCATATCATATATTCACATCATCATTTTAAATATTGAATTGCATCTTATTGAGATAATACCAAGATTAAAAAGTGGTTAGAAAAAAGTAATAATAAAAATGAGTCATTTATTGTGTTTCTGTGTGTAAACACTTTATCACATTAAATCCCAGTTGTGTATGAGAGATTTTTTTAAAAATCCTAGTTTAGGGGAACCAGAAGGGCCCTTAGAAATCTTGTAAGTATAATGTCACTTAAACTTTTTGTAATAGCAGAACTCTTTTTCCAAACCAAATTTTAGACAGGCCCATAGTTTTTAAAAGGGCTGCTGTGTTTGAAGTAGATACACAGAAGCCTGCCAACTCAGCCCATCTTTTCCCCAACTTGTGCAGTGGCACCCAAGGCACCAAAGCACTTCTGAGGGACTTGAGGGCTCTAAGTAACACAGTATAAAAAGCACTAATCTAGCACAGCCCCCTCATTTAGCAGATGAAGGAACTGAGACCCTGAGAAGTTAGGTAACTTGCCCAAAGTCGCAGAGCTAGGATGACTAACTGGTCAACAGTATATAGAGTGAGTCGGAATGGGGAGAAACTGAAGTCCAGGAAAAGAGTAGAAAGCATTTTAAGTAATCTGTGCATAGCTATAGAAATGAGATGACCTTTCAAGTATTTCCTGTTGTGACTCCCCGATCGAAATGATGGATGTTCATTTGTCATGTTTGGATCAACACAGATTTGTTCTCTTAGATAAATTTTGTGAGTCATGAGAGAAATGGTATAGTAGACCTTTTCCTGCCTGTCCGAATTGAGGCGCTTGGCAATTTAGACCTTCTTTGGTCTACTGCTGTTTTGTCTTGAGTGAGTAATGTTCTACTGTTATTTGTACCTGTAATGCCAGCAGTAACACTAGATGAGATCAAATTGTGCACAGTGTAAAGCCAAGAGCAGGCTGTAACTTGCCAAAAATTATATATGGAGTAATGACTTAATCCCCAGTGTTCAAACTATCTTCACTAAGTATTTCTGAGATTTGAATTTGCCTGACTAGTAGCAAGAAGTTCATTAAGCCATGAAAGGAAAAACTCCAGTACAGTGAAGACTGAATTAAATGAAAGATTTAAATTCCTACTTTTATATCCAACTCTGAGGAGTGTGGTAAAACAGTTAAAAACACTCTGGAGACTGATATTTGAGTCCTACCTCTGCTACTGAGTAGCTGTGTGACCTTGCAGAAGTCCCTTCCTTTCCACATTAGTTATGTGCTACCTAAATTCTAGGCACTGGAAATTCAAAGAACAAGACACTGGGTTTGAGCCCTTAAGGGGCCCACAGTTCAATGGGAAAGACCAGTGAACAAATAATCAAATAGGAATTTGGTAAGAATGGAGGGAATAACTTTAGCCCTGAGGGGGGCATTCTGTTAGAGGTCAAACTCCATACCTGACTTTCTGATCCTTTCTGACCTGCTGCTGACATCCTTTTCATTCTGTTCACCCATGGATCCTAAGCTCCACCTTTAGCGGACTCTCCTAGCTCTCCAACCTATCATGTCCTCTTAGGCCTTCATGCATTTACATGGGTCGTGCCTTCTGCCTGCAATGTCCTTCTCTCCCTTGTCTGCCTGGCAAATTTATATTTAATACTGACAACTTAGCTGAAGGATCACTTCCTCAGGAAGCATTTCCTGATCGTTTACCTGCAGGTGAGGTGCCCTCCTCTTAGCTCTTACAGCACTTTATTCATCTTCTTATGACAGTACTGGACTATGGTTTTCTTTATCCACAGCTGTCTCTCAGTAGCCTGAGAGCTCCTTGAGGTCAGGAAGAGTGTCTTGTTCGACTTTGTTTACCTCAGCACAGCACCTTACGCTGTGGGGTCATTAGGTAGGGACTCAATGTTAAATGAATTACAAAACAATAATACCTTACCTTCTCTGAGTGCTCATTTCCTGCCAGATGACTGTGCTAAGTATTTTTTTTTTTTTTTTTTGCGGTACGCGGGCCTACCCACTGCCATGGCCCCCCCTGCCGCGGAGCACAGGCTCCGGACGCGCAGGGCCAGTGGCCATGGCCCACGGGCCCAGCCGCTCCGCGGCATGTGGGATCCTCCTGGACCGGGGCACGAACCCGCGTCCCCTGCATCGGCAGGCGGACTCCCAGCCACTGTGCCACCAGGGAAGCCCATGTGGTAAGTATTTTATATGCATTTTCTCAATGACTCTCTACAACTGCCGTAAGAAATAGGTGTTGTTATATCCTTATTTTACAGATGAGGAAATTGTGGCTCAGAGAGGTTAAAGTAACTGGCCCTTTAGTGTTTCCTTACCACAGGATTTGAACCCAACTCCTTTGAATCCAGATCCTATTCCAGAGCCCATGCTTTTAACCACTATACTATACTACAAAAGAGGGGGGAAGTTACAGACCTAGTGAAGAACGAAAGGGGAAATGAACATGTAACAGATTGTGCTAAAAAGTAGAAGGAAGCAAGGCTGAATCAGTAGGCTGGCCCACATTATGGAGGATGTGGAGTCAGCCAGAAGTGGGTAGACTTGATGTGCTGTAAGCAATAGGGAGGCATTTGGTTTAATTCAATATTTATTAAGGACCTATTATGTGCCAGCCACTGTGCTAGCTGCTGGGATATAAAGATGCATAGTCTTTGCTCCCGAAGCTCTAACTGCCAGGTGAGGGAGACAGACAACAAGTCAATGTAAAGTGGTATATGATTTTCTAGTGATACATTCAAAGGTGATGATGCCAAAACTGAGTCTTGAATGGTGATAGGATGTGTAGGGAACTTGAAGCATTTCACTATTATTGGAACTTACAGTTGGAAGCAACAAGAGGTAGGTAATTAATTCATTCAACATGTATTTACTGAATGCCTGCTATGTGCAAGACACCGTTCTAGGCGCTGGAGTGAATGAGACAGACAAAACCCCTGCCCTTGTGGATCGCAAGGCAAGCAGGAGCTACTACTGCATGCCCATTTGTATAGCACTTATTTCCAAAGAACTTAGATAATGTCTTAACTGCGCCCCACAGTAGCTCTGACAGAGACTACAGTAGGTATACTGGTCAGTCTTTCCAAAATGTGGAGGCATACTGGTGATATGAGAGATGAATTTAGGTGGTACATGGAGGACCACTTATGACATTTAAATAGCTCTAAGCGATACCCCTAGCAGCCTTCTAGCATCA